TTCCTTAACTAGTCTAATCCTGTTTTGATAGTTTATTAAAATTTCAGTTAAGGTATTACCATCTTTACTAATTGAATTTATCATTTTATTAAATATACTAGTAATATTATTTATTCGTTTTCAAATAAATTATTAATTACTATTTGATTGTCATTGTTTTCATTTAATTTACTTAAGCTATCTATTATTATGTTTAGATCTTCATGATCAGGAGATCCGGCTAAATATTTTCAAGCCGTTCCCAATTGATCTTTTTATTTTGTTATTATTAAAAGGTTTCAGGGTGTTCAGTATTTCAAAGGTTTGGGTGGTTTCATGCTTTAGGATAGGGTATAGGACATTGTTTTTAGGTATTCGGGTGGTTATTTCATCATAAGTGTCCATTAAGTATTGTTCGTATTTTTCTAAGTCAATCAAATGAACAAGTCTAAGTCTTGTATTTTCGCTTGTCAATTGTCTATTGTAACTAGTTGTGCCTTACTGTCTTCCAAAATTTTTAGATCGGCTAGGGGGACGTAAAAGTGGTATAAACGATTAGAATTTTTAGATAGTTCATTTTGCCTGACAGTTAATTGATCAAGTTTTTATTAGGGCTTTGCAGTGGTTTTAACTGTTTTTCTATTTTTTTCGGCTACAGTCTCTTTCTTATACTTCGAAGTTAATTTCGATCCTAATCTCTCATTTAGTTTAACATAAATGGTATCTCTTGCAGAATAGTTTTTAATTTCAAATATTTGCCTGTTATGGTAAGATAAGTCAATCTCCTGTTTCCTTTTTAATTTAGCAATGTTTTTTTTTGTCTTTGTTGTTCTAGTTGTATAGGGTCAGTGAAAATTCTGTTTCCGAAAAACATGATTATTGGTTTGGTTTTGTTGTAGAATGGATTGATGAGTTATATTCTTGTACTGATTTGAATAGTAATTCCTCGTGGGGCTCTTCTCGCCGCTCATTCTTCTTAGAAGTTAGTTCCTGGCTTTGATTGCATGGAATTTAAATGCATACGAGTGCTTACCGCTATTGTCTATAGCGCTAATTTATGTACTTTCCCGATCGAACATATCTGACTTCAATTTGCGATGTGTTTCATAAAAACCCGCTAATAATAATTTTACTCTAATTTTGCTATCGATCCGGTAAAAATGAGTTTTTGGAAGAACTGTCCGACTTGTGCCTCAATGAAAATAATTAAATTCCTAACCATTTTGGTAAAATTTAAGTAAACTTGTGGCTGATAATTCTCTTCTCTTAGCCCTAGTTTTCGATTCATTTTGCGAAAGCTAATTTTAAGAATCAGGAGCTCTCCAAATTTACTTGGCTATGTTATACTTATAATATTGAACCAAGTGCTTTACATTTTACCAGTGTCATTATTTCCTTTTTTGCAAAATGTGCACCTAAAAATATAATATAAGGTCAAAAGCTTTTAATACTTTTAAGAAAAGTGGCTTACACTACTTACATTACATAACATACACGTCCCTTTTTCGTTATTTCGAATATTGCAATGATTATATAACTAAAGTTAAGAATAGTATTTTGTACAATCCAAACTGTTGTACGACTGTGTTAAATCCAAACTCAATGGTCGGGATATGATAGTCTGTACTCCCATTAACTCAACTTTTTAATCCCTCTCTGAAATAAGGTATGTTCCTTTCAATAGGAAAGGAGTTTATAGTACCCTTAGTTAAGAATGGTTATAGGTCGAATATTGACAATTATAGAGGTATTGCAAACTTATCTACTACACCAAAGCTTTTTGAGGTAATCATTACTAGTCAGATAACGTTTTGATCTCTTGACTACTATCCAATTCCCAAAACTAAAGGCTTTAGAGGTAATAAGCAAACTGACATTATCTACACTGTCTAGATTTTCTAGACTTTCGCCCAAGATTTCTTCAATGGGTTTTCTCGTAATAAAACACAACGGGTAAGATACTTTTTCACAATTGAATAATGTCTCATCAGGAGTTCCTCAAGGTAGCCATCTTGGCCCGATTCTGTTCTCAATATTTATAAACGATATATTTTCATTAATAAAGCATTCCAATGTTTTATTATATGCCGATGATACAAAACTTTTTTTGTCATATACCTCATTCGACGAAAGACGTTTGTTACAAAACGATCTAGACAATTTTGCTATCCTTTAACCTCAAGGAGTGTAAGACCATGTGGTTTTCTCGTAGACTTGTTCAACCTTTTCCTTATAGAACTGTAGTCAGGAGCAAGTCTTCAACTTTGTTGATTAAGGGGGACCCTAAGCTCAACTTCTATCTATACCACAATAATAAAAGCTAAAAATAAAAAATACTTCCGATAAGTTGGACTCTATTCAAAAACAATTTTTAATTTTTACATTAATTCATTACCGATGGAGCTCCTCCCTATACCAACCCTATAACGCTTCTAAAATTATATACACTTGTCGTAGAGAAATGTTATACGCATTGTTCGTAGTAAAACTTCTTAACGAATCAATTTGTAATTTTTCGCACTTATCTGAGGTAAACTTTATTGTTCCAACTCGTGAATCTAGACAGTTTAGGCCTTACTATTAAAGTCATGCAAAACAAATAATGAGTTGAATGAACTCTTTCGCGGATTGTGTCACAATTTTAATTTTCATTCCAGCCCCTTCGATCTCTCAGACTCACTTTTTAGCATCGACTTATTACTATTTATTATTTTTTCTGTAACTGAACAGCTTTAAATCTCGATGATTAACAAACGCTCCCCAATCGTGACTCGCCAAATTTCGTACGTTATCCGAATGTCGCCTCTTGTGTCGATTGGGCGGTCGGAGAATATTCATTGGGCTTATTATTATTGTTTATATATATATTTGTTTGTTTGGCGTTAAGTAATTTTTTCTAAGATGAGGAGATATCGTACCCCTTATTTTTGGATAGATGTTTGCTTCGTAAACAGGAATATCCTTTCCACTCCGACGTAAGTGTGTTTTTAATAAACTACTAAAGGCAAAGGAATTATAGCGAAAATAGGGAAAAAAGGTAACCATATCACTTTAAGTATGTTTGCAGTTTTAACACTATTAAAATTAGGAAATTCCATGAGTCAATCATTGTATCCATCTCGTAACAAACGAAATCAACCGTTCGATATTTTGTGCGGGGGATGGATTTCCCCTGACCCAAAAGAAGTTTTTGTTTAAAGATCGTCATCATTTGTTGCAGGTAATATTGGGGCTAATGCTTACATTATCAGGCCTATTCTCACTGTTACCGGCAAAGTAGATTTTGTTAATTTTTTTTAACACCCGAAAATTAATTTGGTATTCTAGCGAACAGGTTACAATGTTTGAAAAAACTTTGGGCGTACTACTTTTTTCGTCCATATCAAATTGCATTTGCAGGTTGGTAAAGTAAAAAGAAGAAAATTCATTTATATAAGCATTTCACCTGTTGCTGCGAAGCAAATTTTCCCGATGTTTGCGAAACAGAAGTGATTGTGATTGCGAAACAGAAGGTTGGCTCATGGCAGTTAGCCAATTGCTTCCACCAAATTCCTGAGACGGCCAGTGGGAAAAGAAATATATTATTGAGCGAAACCTCAAATAAAACGGCAACGATGTCTTCTGTCTAAAAAAAATTTTGATTTAAAAATTACATATGAAAATGAACATCTATTGTACTTCCCTGTCATATGGTGTCTATGTAAGCGAAGGAAAATCAGAATGCAATCGAAGTGGAATAGATTAAAATGGATTGAATAATATATCACAAAGACTCTTTGTATTCTCAACATTCTCATATATATGTCAAGTAAGAAGTTCGTTCGGTTTTTTTTTTACTGATTTTTCAAAATATGATAACTTTTTGTACATTTGTTCGATTTAAGTCAAATATACGCCGAATTGAGCTTTTGGCCATAGGGGAGTAGCTCGTAGTAGATGATTCCTTGCCAATCCCAACAAACACACAGTGAAATCTTCCTGGCCGTCGATCCAGTCATGGCCACCATCTGCGCCGCTTCCCCGACCATTGACCACGCCCGTTTGTACTCGGTGTTGTCGTAAGTGACCCATTTTTATCACCAGTCACAATCCGCTTCAGAAACGAGTCGATTGGGTTGCGATTCAGAAGCGACTCGTAAATGGAAATTGGGCGCATCATGTTTTTTTTGCGTTAGTTCGTGTGGCACCCAAACAACGAGCTTCTTTTTGAATCCCAGGTTATGCAAATGGTTTCAAACGGTTTTCTGACTTATCTTTAGTCCCTAGCAAACCACTTTTGTGCTACACGTTCGTTTACAGTATCAAGCCGATAAAATAAATTAATTTTTTCAGCCGTTTTGACTTTCAAAGACAAACTTTTGGCGCAAATAAACACGTTTTCAGCAAATAAACACGTTTGACATGATGCGGCACGTTACACTAGTACTATGGACAATAACGTCATCTCTTAGATAAAAACCGATCAAACGAATGAAATAATATCTTGGTATTGTATTTAAACTTTCCTCCCGCGTGATTTCATGTTTTAGATGAATTCACCGTTATCTACGCGACTTTGAATATTTTTTTGTATTGTATTGTTGACTAATTATCTACTTTAAACTGCATCCTAAAATTTACTTTAAAATGCTTAATTTTAATAAAAAGTGGTATAGTTAAACTTTTGTCTTTTAACCTTTCTTATAATTTTAGATTTTGCTCTGGCTAAACTCTTACATACAATAAAATCATTTAACTAACCACATTAAGAAACATCGCCATCCTAGAAATATTAGTTCCTTGTATTACTGACTTAGATTTAGAAACACCGCCATCTTAGAAAAATTAATAGCTTGTATTGGTAACTTGATTTGTGAATAAAGCAATTTGTGAGATAGTATGCAAGCATAGATATTTCAGAAAGGATTTTTTGACCATATGTACATATAACGGTGGGATGAGTATGAATAAGTCCATGAACATATGGAAAATATATTGGAATATGCTAAATTATTGCAACTGCGATGATTTTTATTTTGGGAATATCTCTGACTATGTGTGGTGTGTCAAGTATGTGAGCATATTTATGCAAGTCACAATAAGTTGCTTACTGTAAAACTCCAACCTGAACACATATTTTTATATTTAGTTGTACCAATGGGCGGCAAAGTTTATAATTAAACTGGACTATATTCAGGTTCAAGCACACACCCGTTCATAACAATCAGAAAATATATATATATAAACACTTATTTTTTAAGTATAAATAAAATTGGTACTCGCTGTGATTTGTCGGTACTCTCGAACAGTTATATGTGCATACATAAAGATATATATATATATATATATATATATATATATATATATATATTTGCGAGATTTCTTTTCTTTGTGACTCATTTAAAGAAAAGCTCCAAATTTACTGCCTATATTAAATTTTAAATATTTATAAGTGATGTGTATTTTTCTGCCAGTTGTAAACAGCTCATTTTTTTAGGAATAGAGCACTATAAAGTTTAAAGACGCGCGGTGTATATTAAACAGCTAAAAAATTAATCAAAAGCAATGATTTAAACCATCTACGCTACGAAAGAAGGTATTTTTAATAGCTTTTGTCCTAAATTTTTGTATATGTGTGTTAAATTTTGTGATGTGTTTTGTGGGTATTTTTATTAGTGATGTATGGAAAAACCAATCATGTATATGATTGCTACTTTTTCATTATAGTTTGTAAATAACATTAAAAGTTTACAACAATCACGCCAAAAACATTTTTACGTTCTTTTCAACCCTATTAATTAATTATGTTAATTTGTATAGATCATATGATTATCGTGGCGTTGTATGTAAGTGAATAACAAGCTATTAGTAAAATACTTTTTAATGAAGCGTATGTATATTCATATTAATATACATAACTATGCATAATACTTTCAATGTATTTGTTATATATAACAAGGACACAAACTAGCTAATGTAATCAGCTTATCACAATACAAACACCCCACAAAACAATTTTTTTTTATCTCACGTTTTCAGTTTTCAAAATGAAAGGTTAATCATTTTGACAACTTAATATTGTAATACATAAGTGGTATACTTATATACTTAAATACATATTTAATATCATAAAACCTTTATTAATAAGAAATACAAAAACGTTGTCATGATTGATGAATTAGTGGGGACTAAGGAAGTAGGATCACCTTAGTCTCCAAAGTCTAACAAAAATTTTATTGACACTAGTCAACAAAATTTTAACTTTATGGTCACATGATATTTTAAATTTTGAATGTATGTAATTCGGGCAATCAAACAATAGAAAAATTTTATTGCATAACTTAACATGAATGTTTAGGATTTTCGTGAATATTTGGTAAATGTCTTAGAACAACAATAATCTATTAGCATTTCTGGACTCTATTTCCTTTGATAACACTTTTCCATTAAAGAAATGTCTTGATGGAACCTCTCACCTTGTTTGTCACCCAATTTGCCAGAAACATATCAAGTTCAGCAACTGTATTTTTAATTACTACCCAAAGCTTTATATATATGACACCAGCTCACCCGGCCACGCGTTGCTATCCCTTAGCCACATTGTTATAATATTTACATTGCAGCAAACTATTTAAGACGAACGGTAGGAGAACATTAGTTATGGACCACCTAGCTTTTTGGCATTGGAGTTGGATTAATAGAAGTAGCGCCAGCGTGTCGAATAAAAAGAAAAAAAGGATGTTTGAAGTTTATACGTTACAAATTAGATTTTAATTATAAATATGTGTGTAAATGTGTATGTGGGTGTGAATATGTGTATGAACAAATAAAATTAATTTGTTTTGTATAATAATATTACATATTTTTTGGGTAGGGTTAGTGTGTTTATTAATGTTCAATATGAACTGTGGGTATAACTTTTTTCTTCAACGACGCGATTGTTATTGTATTGATTTGGGTGATTGCCACTGCTTACACTACTTTTGATTTCGAAGTTCTTCAAAAACTAAAAACTATATTTATATATATGTTTTGTGATTTTGCATTGTGCTCTTATTTGCTTTGAGGACAATACAGGGATGCGTTTATTATGCATAAACATACCGGCCGCCTTGCAGGATCTGCGAATACAAATTTTGATAAAACATAGAAGAGAAGAAGAGTAGAGAATTCAAATGTGTTCTTTTAATACTTTGGGTCTGCTTCGATCATTACTTTGTCTTTCGTTATGAATTTGGGGTCAGCGAGAACTAGGCGGTCAAATCTTTTTATGATTTCACCACCTAAGTCAAAATCATAGAGTCGGGTCGTTTGTAACGAGATTATTGCATTTCGCGCGTAAATGATTATCGGAGAGAGATCCGATAGTTAAACTGCAAATGCTGTGTGAGTATGGCAACTTTAGTCTTTTAACCAATTCAGTTGCAATTGTGGTCAACTTTCGTGTTGGGTTTACGAGTGCTCTGACTGTGGAACATATGCCATCGTGTTTTAATCGGATGATCGCACTTGATGTTGCTTAAGCATGGATCCGGGTGGTAAGTTTTCGTTGGCCTTGCTGCCCCTTCTTCAGCAAAATTTTGGTGGCCGTGCAGCGTCGAATGGTGCTCTCCTTTACAAGTAGAACACCAAGTCTTGCTAGTGCAGTCTCGAGTTTTGTGTGACCCCCTTTTTCAAGTATTTTTTTAAGCTTTTAACTCCTACTTCCCAGAGGCCGCCCATATGAGGAGCTCCTGGAGGACTGAAATGCTACTTGATGTTTTGGTTAGCTCGACTCGTTAATATTTGGGTTTTCAAGGTTTTCATAAATTCTCGTCGATTTTTTAGTAGCAGTTGCGAAGGTCGTTAAAAGTTCCTTCCATTGTCCGAATAAAGATCGACGGGGCATCCGATCCTAGAGAAAAATCCTGCGAATGCTGCTATAAATGCTTCTGTGGTAAGATAACTTACGGGTTCAAAGTGTATTGCTTTGGTTGCGAAGCAAACGAAAACACGTGTAGTTGTTTGTATCGAAAGGTCCAGCGAAATCAATTCCTGTTGATGCAAATGGGCGGATTAGGATGGTACGTTCAAGTAATGCTGTCATGATTTGAGTAGCTTGGGTTTTTCTGTATAGCACGCAAGTTTTGCACTGATGAATCGTTGTTTTAATAAGGGTCTTCAGTTTTGGAATGGAGAATTCTGTACGAATAAATCGTAATACTAACTGGTTTTCTCCATGTAGTGTTATTGAGCGGATTAATTGGATGAGTAGTTTTGTCAATCGACTGTTGTAGGGTAGTAGAATCGGATGACGTTCGTTGTATAATGGCGCAGCTAAATTACTCAAGCGGCCATTAACCCGCATGATTCTTTTGGGGTCGATTGATGGGTTAAGGGTCAAAATAGAACCCTTTTTCAGAATCTATCTAGTATATCTTATTGAGCTGTAGTGGTAAAGATTTTAATTGGTTTAAGCTTCCGGGTTATGGCGAGTGGTTTTTGAGTGATTTTTATTTTTTTGAATCGAGTTGTAGCCATTGAGGTCCATGTCACCAGAGGTTATTGTTCGCGATTTCTAGGGGAGTGCATCCACGACTTAACGACATAATTCTAAGTATCGCTTCCGACGTTTTCAACTATCGTGGCGACTCGATGAGAAATGAAAGTTGTCCATGAACATGGAGGTCTGCTTAGCCAAGAGGGAACAATAGTTGAGTCCAGAGATGGGTGCGATAGTGTGTCAAATTTAATTGATATAAAGACGTGTCTAGTAAGTTTCCGAGGAGAACGGCTACACATAGTAGTGATATACTTTTTATTGGAGCTACTCGAGTTTTCGATGCTAAAAGGCTGGTCCAAGTATTCCCGTTTGTAGAAATTCTAATGTAAAGATTTGCGAGCGCTTTTTCAGACACATCAAAGATACTGTGAAACTCTATGACTGCTGAAGTTGAGAAGTGGGATTTCTGTTTTATTAAGCATCTCATATTTCTTAATAAATGTTTTTGATCTTGGCAGGGTTAGGGGTTTCAGACTTTCATCCTAGTCTGATTTATCAAGCCATATTTGCTGCATGATAATTTTTTCCGTTACGATTACTGGACTGAGCCAGCCTGCTGGATCAAACAATTTAGCAATTATTAATAGTACTTCTCGTTTAGTGAAAGATTCTTTGCCTGGATGGGGTTTATAAGTAAAAAGAAAACGTCTTTCTTAGAACTCCATCTAACTCCTAGGTCTTTTTGCTTTTGGATTCTGGTAAATTGAGAAAATTAGTATCCAATAGACGCTCTGATTGGAGTCCTGATAAGATTTTTGGGTCATTGGAAGAGTTCATTTGCGTAGAGCAAATCCTGCGGACTCCAAGGATTTTACGAGTTCATCTCGAGCCAACTTCACACTGGATATATCATGGGCTGATGCTAGAGGATGGTTTCCTATAACATTGTCAGCTAATTTTACTAGTTCGGATTGGTGAATAAAGAGCACAGGTAAACCCATATGTTACGGTTTGTAACTCAAAATCCTATACTCGGTCATCATTTCACTTTCTGAAGAGTATTCTCTGAAATTTAGTGTGTTTGGGTTCTACAAGAATTTGCCGATCTTTTTTTTTGTATATCTGCGTTGAAAACGAATCGAAATATACTTCATTATATTACTAAGATTACCAAGTCTGCCTGCAGAATAGGTCCAGTATGTACTGCGTCGTTCAGAATGTTTCCGTTGGATATGGGACATGATGCATTAAATACCACTCTCAGTTGCGTAGTTATTTGATCGGGTTTGATAACTCCCTGATGTGGTAGATAATGTAGGGTGTTTTCCTCCGAGAGACTGTTTTCCACGTGTTCATGTGTTTTTCATATGTTCAAGTTCCAAATACTTTGTCGTAATCCATTTTTATGTCCAGCTTTCTTGAGAGTGATTTCTCATTTTCTAACGAGCTATTGAGCTACCCAGTTCTATGTTTTCTGGGTTTTTAGAGGGTAATGTAACCATACAATGTCCCGATAAGTTTCTGTGTGTGGTTTTTTGATAATTTTCTTCGCACAATTTATCTGAAGATGAAGACAGAGGCTTTCTCGGAACTTCTTCCACTTCCCAAAACTGAGTGAGTAATTTATCTGGGGTCATTTGATTGAAAAATGAAGCTACTGAAGGTCCACTGAGCTCTTCTCGAATAGGTCCTGACAAAACCCAACCAAATTCGGTTTCTTGAGCGAGCCAAGTATTGATTATATTTCTTTGTACACCACCGAGTATTATTTGTGGGTATAAGTCACTTCCAATTAGAACGTCGACCGGTCTGAGCTTATTGAAATCGGGATCAGCTAATTTAAATCCGAGTTTTCCAATTTCAAATGTCGAGTGCTGAGTGGGTAAGTTTTCTGTTAGAGTTTTTAAAATATTCCATTCTATTCTCATAGGTGAGCATAGGGTTAATTCGCATGTTTTTCTGTTTGTTGCTGAAACTGAGTTTTTCAGCCCGGTCACTTGTGCAGCTACATGTTTCGTAGGCATGCCCGGTTTTCTTTGCAGCTTCTCTGAAATAAATGTGGCTTCTGACCCAGAGTCTATGAGTGCCTTTGCTGAATATAATTGTTCTCTATG